ATGAACTATTGGGAGTTCATCAAGATAAAAAGCTTCTGCACGGCAAAGGAAACAGTCAACAAAACTAAAAGGCAACCTACAGAATGGGAGAAGATATTTGTAAATGACATATCAGATAAAGGCCTGGTACCCAAGATCTGTAAAAAACTTATCAAACACCCGAAAAACAAATAACCTAGTCAAGAAATGGGCAGAAGACATGAACAGACACTTTTCCAAAGAAGACATCCAAATGGCCAGCAGACACATGAAAAAATCCTCCAAATCACTTACCATCAGGGAAATACAAACCAAAACTACAATGACATACTACCTTACACAAGTTAGAATGGCTAAAATTAACAAGACAGGGAAAAACAAATGCTGGTGAGGATGCAGAGAAAGGGGGACTTTCTTACACTATTGGTGGGAATGCAAGCTAGTACAGCCACTCTGGAAAACAGTACGGAAGTTCCTTAAGAAAGTAAAAATAGAACTACCCTAGTACCCAGAAATTGCATTACTGGGCATTTACCCCAAAGATACAGATATAGTGAAAAGTAGGAGCACATGTACCCCAATATTCACAGCAGCAATGTCAATGGTAGCCAAACTGTGGAATGAACATCAACAAATGAATGGGTAAAGAAGAATGAATGGGTTCATATATACAATAAAATATTACTCACTCATCAGAAAGGATCAATACCTACCATTTATATCTATATGGATGGAACTGGAGGTTCTTAGGCTAAGTGAAATAAGTCAATCAGAAAAAGACAATTATATGGTTTCACTCATATGTGGAATGTAAGAAACCATGCAGATGATCATAGGGGGTAGGAAGGAAAACTGAATGGGAAGAAATCAGAGAGGGAGACAAACCACAAGAGACTCTTGACTCTGGCAAACAAACCAAGGTTGCAGAAAAGGAGGTGGGTGGGGTGATGGGGTAATTGGGTGATGGGCAGTAAGGAGGGCACGTGATGTGATGAGCACTGGGAGTTATACGCAACTAACGAATCATTGAACACTATGTAAAAAACTAAATGATGTACTATATGTTGGCTACCTGAATTTAAATAAAAAAAAAAAAAGATAGACCATGCAAGTAGTAACCAAAAGAGAACTATAGTAACTACATTAGTATCAGACAAAATAAACCTTAAAACAAAAATTTTACTAGAGACAAAGAATACTATAGAACAATAAAAGGGCCACCTTATCAAGAAGAGATAACAATTATAAGCACATATACACTTAACATCAGAGTCCCAGAATACACGAAGCAAAAGTTGACAGTAATAGCTGGAAACTTCAATAATAGTTGGAACTTTCAATAATGGATAGATCTAGACAGAAGATTCTCAGGGAACAGGAAGACTTGAACAACACTATAAACCAACAGACGTCTGTAGAACAATCCACCAAATAACAGCAGAATACTCATTCTTCTCAAGAGCACATGGAACATTCTCCAGGATAGGCCATGTGTTAAGCATAAAACAAGTCTGAAAAAATTTAAAAGAATTGATAAAGTATGTCTTCTGACCACACTAGAATGCAGTTGAAATAAATAACAAAAGAAAATTTGGGAAATTCCCAAATAACAAAGGATGTTTAAAATATATATTAAAGTACTTTTTGAGTTTAATATCTAACTAGGAGTTTAAATTGACAGTTTTAAATACAGTATAAATAAAGAGATATTTCTGTTGAAATTAATTTAAAAATGTTAATGGCCTTAATTTCTCTCTCTCCCTAGTGCTAACATAGAAGAATTACTTCTATACTCGATCTTTCATCATCACCTCAGAGACCTCTTTGAAAGAAAGTATTCTGTAATCATCACTAATCACTTTTCCCCTCCACATTTGTCCTGATCCATACATTAAAATTAGTTTTGTAAATAAATTTTTCTAATTGTTGCTCAATTGATGCAAGCTTATCATGTCAACTGAAGACTCAAAAAATTCTAAATAGTAAGTCCCCAAACTAAGGTGCTAGTCAAAAGCTAAGTGGGAAATTGGCTTTACAGATTTTAGATTTGCCAATTTCCATAATCATGTGAGCTAATTCCCCAAAATAAATATATAATATATATTCTAAAATAAAAGAGGGGGAGGTGAGGGTATGGGTTGTCCCACTAATAGGTATTAAGGAAGACATGTATTGCATGGAGCACTGGGTGTTATATGTAAACAACAAATCTTGGAACACTACACCAAAAACTAATGGTGTACTGTATGGTGACCAACATAACACAATAAAAATTAAAAAAATAATAAAAATTAAAAACTAAGTGTTTTCACTACTCTCATAAGAAACACTCCTTCTACTAGAAGATTCTAGTCATTTTAACTTACTAAATATTTATATACATCTTCTCCTAAACACTGTGGGGATCATAGCAGTAAATGAGATTCAGATTCTGTTGTTAGCAATGTTGTAATCTGTTAAGCAGTAGTCCACAAATAACTTCAATTACATTCAAAATGTAATAAATGCAATCATTAGGGCATGAAAGGCTATAGTTATTCAAAAAGGGAATTGTTACATTCAACTAGAATACTCAGGAAAAGCTTCTCATAAAGCAATGGCCTGCAACCTTGACTGCTTATTAGAATCATCCTGGTCACTTCAAGATATTTTGGTAACCAGACTTCATTCCAGACCAAATAAATCAAAATATCACAGGCAAGTGGACTGAGCATCAGGATATTTTAAACCTCCCTAGGTGATTTCCAGTGTGCAGCCATGTTTGAGAACCATTGCTATAAAGGATGGGGTTACGTAAGGAAGGAGTCAATAGAATTTAAAACTAGGTAAAATTCCAGTAGAAAGGAAGAAAATACTGGAACACTTGGAATAATCCTCTCCTCACATAGCTAATTTATTTTCATTCTCCAAATCTGAACTCAAGTATAACATTTTTCAAAAGCTTTGAAAAACTTGACTCCACTTGATAACAGTATAAAACCTGACACTTGATATGTGACAAGTACCATTCTGAACACTTCAAATATATTTCAATGTTCAATTCTCTCCAAAATACTAGAAGATAGATAGTATTATTATTCCCATTTTACATGAGAGGAGAGTAAGTAATTTGGCAAGGTTATACAACTAACAAATGGCAAAGTTGAAATTCAAATATATGTAATGACTCCAAAATCCATGTTCTGAAACATGACCAACAGGAGTTAGATATTCCTTATCAAGACTCTCATGGAACCCATGCATATCTCTCCTCCCCCTCCTCCCCCATCCTGCTCCTCTCCTCTCCTCCTCTTTTCCTCCCCCTCCCCCTTTTCCTCTGGAAACCAAGGATATTTCAATCACACCATGAATCACATAATATTTTAAGTGTTTCCTAGATTTTTCTCCTCCACTAATCATTTATTCACTCATTTCACTCATTCATCCATTCAATAAATGACTACTGAAAAAATGCTTGGTACTAGGTATAAAGTCATATATGTCATACTTTATTTGCCAAAAAGTTTTAGTCTAGAGGAGAAGTCAACAAACTACAGTCCACAGGCCAAATTCTACTGGCCAGCTATCATTGTAGGTACATTTTTATTGGACCACAGCCACATCCATTGGTTTATGTATCATCTTTATCTCTCTTCATGTTACAGAATCAGAGTGGAATGGTTGTGACAGAGATCATCTGGTGGCAAAGTCTAAAATATTTACTATCTGGTTCTTTATAAAAAACATTTGCCAACCTCTGGTCTGGAGAATAAGACAAATGAGAAAATTATTAATGACTACCCAATGCTATTGGTGAAAAAGATATTGGGAACATAAAAGAGAGATACCTAGAGTAGGTTAGGGCAGCAGCAAAAGCATTACAGAGGATATGGTATTTGAGCTCATTTTGGAAGGGTGAGTAGAGTTAACTAGACAAAGAGGAGCAACCAGATGTGTCAGTAAGATCATACTCAGAAGTTTAGCAGTGATCCAGGGAGCCAGATTCTACTTACAATAGGAATAAAGAGAATAAATATATTTAAGAGATATTAGTCCTATATAACTTTATGAAATATCTTTGATTTCTTCATTCTCACTAGCATAATAAGTAATGCATACAGTTAGAACTCATTAAGTATTTGTTAACAGATAATATTAAGTCCTAAATGAAGAATATTAAAAAGGGGAGAAATAATTTACCTTCTAGTAGTCCTTACAAAGCACTGATGTGGAGAAAAAATGAACCCTCATGCACTATTGGTGAGAATGCAAATGGGTGTAGCCACTGAGGAAAACAGTATTGGGTTTCCTCAAAAAAATTGAAAATAGAGCTTCCATATGATCCAGTAATTCCACTACTGGATATTTATCCAAAGAATACAAAAATACTAATTCAAAAAGATGCATGCACCCCTATGTTTACTGAAGCATTATTTACAAGAGCCAAACTATGGAACTATGGAATCAGTTCAAGTGTCCACTGATAGATGAATGGATGAAAAAGATGTGGTGTATATGTGTGTGTGTGTGTGTGTATACATATGGTGTATATATATTGGAATATTATTCAGCCATAAAAAGGATGAAATCTTACCATTTGCAATAACATGGATGGATCTAGAAAGTATAATGCTAAATGAAAAAAGTCAGAGAAAGACAAATACCATATGATTTCACTCATATGTGGAATTAAAAAAACAAAACAAATGAAACAAAGAAAAAAGAGACAAGCCAAAAACAGACTCTTAACTATAGAGAATAAACTGATAGTTACCAGACAGGAGGTAGAGGTGGGTGACTGCGTGAAACAGGTGAAAGGGATTAAGAGTATACCTATCAGGATGAGCACTGAGAAATGTATTAACAGTTGAATCACTATACCGTACACCTGAAACTCATATAACACTGCATTTAAAAAAATAAAAAAGAATTCTAGTTTTTTAATCCACTACCCTAGAGTGAAAAGAAAGCTACCACTTGTTTTCAACTGTATAGATGCATAATAACCATAGTTTTATAAATGTGAAATGGTTGCAATATACTGCACCTGGAAAATTCATAGGCAGCTCAAATGGTTGTAGAGACTCACAACCCTCAATGTGCTCAGAAATTTCAGCTATGATCTTCTTAATTTTGAGACCAGTAACTTTAATCACTTCTCCTGTTGACAAACAGCATTCATTTCCAAACATTTCGTAAATGGAACCTTAAAAAAAAAAAAAAAGGAAGAGTTAAAACGGCTTTTAAAAAAAGAATTAAATCAGAGATAATGAAGTAGTAGTCTAAAGCTTCATATAAAGTGTTTTTATTCAGTTCCTCTCCTAGCTACCTACTAAACAGGCATTTAATCAAGCTTGGCAAAATGTACAGCATGTACCAAGAAAATATTAGATTTTCACTCCATCCACTGGGCAAAGTATAAACAACCTTATTTTTGTTGTTATTGTAAATTTGATTTATGGTTTCCTCAGCACCTTTAGCTCATCATTCCAAGGTCAAACTACAAACATATCTTCCCTTGCTGGGATTTATGCTCTATTTTTGCTGGGTCACTGAATTAGGTTCATGTGAGTCAACAGTGATCTAAGTATGTATTGCAAACAAGGTTGTAATACAATCCAAGATTCAAAGACAGAGTCTATACACCAGGGCCTTCCTTATATTAAGAGCATTGTACCTATTTATTAAACCTGTTTCTCTTTGTCGTCATGAATATAAGACTTTTTGTTTATTCTCTCTCTCGATTTTTGACAAGTTGGAAATATCTCTTGGTATCTTTATGGCAATTAGGGGGCAGAACAGCCCAGATAAACTGAAAAGCTTCATTTCAGTTCAGAATTTCACTCTCTTTCCTAACAAACCTCTTATCATAGATACTAAAGCTAAGATTTCACCCGTTTATTTTCCTTTTAGATCTCCTGATGGAAGAAGAGTGAGCAGTGAAATAACCAGAAAATGAGCAACAGAAAAGAGGAAAGGCAAAAATCTGGATAATCTATCCAAAGTAAAAAGAGAACAACTCCAAAATTACATCTTTAATATATTATTACTTTTCAACTGAGCATTAAATGAAAGGTTGATGTAAAGAAACATTACAGAACTGTGGGGATTTAAACATATCAATTTTTTCTTACCCCTAATATAATTTATATCCTCTTTACCACACAAAAATGTGAACAATAGAAGTATGAGATTTCAGGTTGGTTTGCTTTTCGAATTCTTTTCTATTGAACCCCCCTCTCACAGAATCTTACCTGATACATAGCACCTAAAACATTTTTGTAGCATTAATGATTATCATAAAAGTTATTAAGCCTATCATCCAATCTAGCATTAAACAACTCCGTGTTTATATTAGAGTGTCAGCAGGGAACAGGGGGCACACTCAGATTAGAATAATTTAAGGAGATTTTAACAAAGGGGCAATTTACACAGAGGCACAGCCAGTTCTAGGTAACACAAGAAAATAAATATTCTGACCTCACTCTTCTCCCTCTATCTGATCCTTTGCCAGGGTACCCTCCTTTGGCCAAATTAAGCCAGAAGCCAGAGGACAAGGGAGCTACTGAAGCCACCACAGAAAGTCAGCCTCCAAGGTAGAGAGTGGAAATGGAAGTCCAGCACACCATCCTTACTGCCCATTATTGAATGAGGGCCATTTTTGCAAATATGCTAGTATATCTGCTCCCCAATTTCTGAGTATGTACTTCCATAACTCTCTGCTTTTCTAATACTATTCCCTTAACTATATATGTGTTCATACCTCTCATTAATTCCCAAATATGGTATTTTCAGCTATCTCCAATCTTTTGTGGAACAACTGGGGTATTAAAGACATAGCAAAAATCTATAGTGACATTTTCCTCCAATGACCTTAGAACAGTTATTTTCTATGATCCTCATTTGGCAATTAATCACACACTAACATTTATATCTTCAGTATTATCTCATCCTGTACTTAACTTTTTATGACTTTAGTTTTTATTACTCCCAATTCAAGTTAAACTTCATGAAAGACAATATTGCATCATATTACAACACACCAACTGCCCTTCCTTATTCATTCAGTAACTTTAATGGAAACCTACCATGTGTCAAGCATTGTGATTAGCAGTAGGTACTGGAGTTAAAATGTATAATCTTTTCCTCCCAAGAAGTGCTATCTTGAAGCAAGGAGACAAGTAAACAGACTGTACAATAGATTACAAGAAAGTTATAACATAGGAAATACAGAGCATTGTGGGAGAATCCTGGAAGCATTTAATTAAACAATTACAATGTAGAGAGATTAGGGAAGGATTCCTGGAAACTACAGCTGAACTGAGGTTTTTTTTTTTCTTTTCTTTTTTTCTTTTTTTCAGATTTATTTATTTGTTTGAGAAAGAGAGAGAACATGGCCAGGGAGGGGGAGGGGTGGAAGGGACAGAGGGAGAGGGAGAGGGAGAGAGAATCTCAAGTAGACCACATGCTGAACATGGAGCCTGCCATAGGGCTTGATTCCAGGACCTTGATATCACAACCTGAGCTGAAACCAAGAGTCAGACACTTAACTGACTATGCCACCCAGATGTGCCAAGTTGAACTGAGTTTTAAAGGAAGCAACACAAGATGTTGGGGCAGGCAGAGGAAATAGTATTTGAAAAGGTACTGAGATATAAAAGAGCTTGACACATTCTGGAAATTTTAAGTATTTCGGTATGTCTCAAATGTAAGTAAGAATAGGATAAGAAAGGAGACTAGAGAAGAAAAAGAAGTCCAGATCATACAACATCTTTATGAGATTACCAATAAACAAAAAGGTCAAAGTCTGATGCAAAGTCAGAAAACCTAAGTTTTCAGTTATCATGATCCAGGAACTAATACCAATTTAATAAGAGGTCATATGTATCTAGGTGCTTGCTATCCAAAGTGTGGTCAACTGCAGTACCTGGAAGCTTGTTAGAATCTTGGCCAGATCCCAGACGTGCTGAATCAGAACCTGCATTTTTAACAAGATCTCCAGATGAAAGCAGTGATCTGGGTTACAAATGCATAACTGAAAGTCTCTGTCTTGAGACTGTTGCAAAACTAACCAGAAAAGAAAGGACATGCCACACAAAAGCATTCAGTGTCATTGAGGTGAAAGATGTTGTGAGGACAAGTAAAATGAAAGATTTTAAGTAGGGAATTGACATGATAAGATTTTTATTTGTCATATGAAATAAAATATTAGCTGAAGTCTGTTGGGCTCAATTTCAACGCAGTGAGCGTCTAATTGTAAATGTAAAGTATATCAAACTGACTGACTTGGAATGCCATCTTTCTCTCAAAGGTTCCACTGGAATTCAAAAAATTAAAAGATGAATTTATGTGAGATTACTTATCAATTTACAGGAATAGAGGCCAGAGAATTCTAAGAAGAGAAAATTCTATTTTAGTCACCACACAAGCTTTTGACTCTCCAGGTCTCTTTCCAAGAATCTCTCCTTTTGGTTAAAAAAAAAAAAGTCACCTCTTTTAGTCATAAGGAAAAGTACCTCATGCAAATACTAATCTTTTACATTTATCTTTTTTTTATATTTTACATTTTACATTTTACAGTTATTTGTGACTTTCAATTTTCTCTACCCAAGTATGGTGTTAATTCATTTTTAATAAAGAAAGTGGTTGCTGATACACAACATTTGGAAGTTATGTCCATGAAAGGAGACAAGAACATACAGCAACTTCAAATCCCTGAAACTTGAAGGGTTCCTGTCTTTTGTTATCACCAATATAATGTCTCCTAAAATATATTTTTTCCTCAGTGAAAATATAAAATGGTTAATTTTTAAAATAGCCAACTCTCATAATCTTAGGACAAGCAAATATAACATATGTAATTGCTTCTTAAAAATTTGCTAAGATATATCTGAACTACATGTTTATGTATAATACAGATGTAGATATTAAAATAGTTTTCATTTCATTTTAACCATGACATGTATTTTGAATATGCAAATCTAAAATCTATTAAATCTTTATAGACTGATTCTTCCCAAGTCAGAGCATATGTATTCAGGATAATGCCAAACATCAGAGAAAGCTGGAACAAAGCAGGCTGTTTTCAGTGATCAAACATCGCCCCTGAAGGCTGTAATGAAAGACCCACGTGCCTTTGAAATCACCTTTCCTGTAATGCTACTTTGCTCAATAAAAATGACACATTAATATCCTTTTATGAGCTCATCCCTTATTTGACAATCCATACAAGCAATGCTATGATCACACTGGAAGAGCCAAGACAGTTGGTTCAATAGATTTTCCTCCATCTGCGATAGAAAGTTTAAAACTTACCTTGTTTAGAGGCTCTTTTTCCCCTTTTTTCAAGATGTACCCATTCCTTCCATTCTCCACTGCTTTCCCCTGTCCTACCAGGCCACTTACTCACCCTCTTACCTCCCCACCTTTCAAAGTTCAATCAATCCTGAAGATTCAGCTCATATCCATCATCTTCTTCAAAGTCTTTCTTGATCCCTACATCTAGGTGAGAATTAGTTCTCTCCTCTGTCCTCTAAAGCAGTTTGCATATATCTCCATTATAGCCCCTATGTTATTATTATCACAGCCAGCTATTGGGATATAATTTCTATCCACTGAAATTATGAATATTTTAGAATTTATCATGAGTTCCTAGAGATATGTCTTAACTATATTTATACCCATCCTCACAATCCACACAACTAGTAATACAGTTTTTGACACTTAGTGGATCCTTAGTGAATGTTGAATTATACATACCTTAGCTTTACTGTAAAATGACAATAAATTATTGTGAATGTAGTAGAAAGCATAGTCAACCAAAGCTTTGGCATGAGTTATGTTTTCATTTGGTATGTTTAATAGCAAATGTACAAGCATATATGAGATTAGCTAGCAAAGGCATATTAGAATGGACTATTCTAATATGAATCTCTTACTTACTAAGTTTCCCACTTTACCATTAGGTTTACCATTTTTATGTTGCTGAACTTGAGGCTGGTGCTCATGAAATAATCTGAGATAGGTTTAGAAGAGTTAAGAAATTACATGTGCAAAGTTTGATTGATATCGTATAATAGTGTATATAGAGCCATGTCAGATTGGGATTGCTGGTGAAGATGTGTCTTTGCTCCTCATAAACAGGTGTGATTATTCTTTCTTTGCTTAAGGGTTGTGCAAATTACCAAGAAGAAGCATTCCCACAAA